AAATAGCAGCAGGAAACAGTAACAAGAGAGCTTTGGCCAAAATAACTTTGTCCAAGGTGACCACAGCATATCTAGCCTGTCCTAGCAGAGCTAATTCCATACATAAACAGGGTGTACTCAGCATCCGTCAGGGGGTTTATTTCATAGTTATTCAGGGGGCCCAGTACAGCATGTGACACATGGACAGTTAGATCTCATCTTATGGTAAGATTGTCAGATTCCTTGATCAGTAGGACAGTGGTGATTAGAGTGCAAGGCAAAGGGGGAAGCAACCCTTAGTTTTTGAATCCAAGTATTAGCACGGGTAGGTCACTGGGCACTCCCAGAAGATGACAGTCTGTATAAGCATCATTCTTTCTGTGAACTCAAGGATCTAGATTCTATAGAAGCCAGCAGGTCCAAGAAATTTGTGGAGATTTTTCTTTTAACCAGTTTCTTCCAGATAGTGCAGCAGAGCTTTGTGTCTTTCCAGCAGGCAGCTAGGGTGTCATTAATCAGAAGTGTTTTTTCAAAAAGGAAACAGGTTTTTTAACCTCTGAGAGATTGAGTACAGGTTAGTTGTGAAGAGGGGCTGGCTGACAGAAGCCAATCAAAGGCAGAAGAAGGCATTTTTTAGGTCCAGGCAGGTGTACCAGCAGGCTGTGGGTGGCAGAAGATTGAGGCAATGTATATGGAGGGCAGTTACAGTGGTATTGGCAGCTCAGAGATACCTCTGGGAGGAGAGTTTTCAGAATTTTAGCACTACAGTTATCTGCCTCACGCTGATGCAGGTGTCATCTTCCTCTTCGGGAACAGTAAGAATTGAAAGTGTAGGGTTAAATGAGAAGGAAGCTGACTGGCTTGGTGCACTTCTAATTTGAAGAGATCTCTTTCCAGAAGTGGTATGAGGATTGTCTTACACTGGAGATGTCTTCTCAGGCTGAAAGTTTGTGCCTGGAAAAAGGGGTGAGAAGCAAGAGTCCGAGTTGGCCTCATGATGGTACTATGGGCTCCTGGTAGCCCAGCTAAAGAAGGGATCCCGATCTGGCTTACTCTGAGCTAGTTAGACTAATGAAAGTGTTGTCATCTTATAACTTTGTATATATTGCTAGGCTTTTGCTCCCCTCTTTGATGTCTTTGAGAAGTGCTTGACTGGGTTGTTTTGTAGGCAGGGCCACCTTTGGCAAAGGCCATAGCAACTCATTAGTCAGGGTTGATAGTCCAATTTTTTCTCAGTTGAAATGTGGAACTTAAAAGGAATTGTTGACAGTCATCTTGGGTGAGCATTAGATGATGCCATTTGACCAGGATAGGTATAGCTGTGAAGTAGAAGGTTTACGGGGAGGACCTCTATGGCCAAATGAAGACAATGGCTATCTAGAACCAGTTAAATTGGCTGTAAGTGGATGAATTGGGAGCAGGGAGTGAAGCTATAGGTGTTGGCAGCAATTGAGGCAGCTGAGGAGGGTGCCAATGTGGAATTTCCAGAAAAAATTGGCTTCTTTTTCCTTTTTTTTGTTTGAGATGCTGGGAGTCATTTGGTTTCATTTTTAACTCCATAAAAGCCCTTTTTCCTAAAGTGAGGAAATGACTAATTAATGCTCATCTCTGACTTCCTATGTGTGTTGTGTACCTTTGAATGATGGTGCAACAGACAAAGGGTGGGAGCCCCTCAGAGAGAGACCATCCAGATGTCCTTCTGGCCACACCCCTCATAAGGATTTAGGCACGACTTCTCTAAGGAGGGTGCAAGGTCTCTGTTATGCTATATGTTGATTGCCACAGAACTGCAAGTGAGGGCTCAATCATCCACCTTGACCAAGGCTTTCCAATCTTGGTGCATAGGCTTAGCAGCCTATTGCTTAAAATATCCATCCCACTCACTCACACTCATTCAGCAGGCACTCAGAGGTTAAACATTCCAACCCTTTCCCTTCAGGGTGGTCCTGATAATAAGAGTTGATCAGTTTTCACTTCTGCTTGAGCTAAGAAGGACTCACAGAGAGAGTAACTGAGGTGTACCCTGGGGTCTTACCAGAATCAGGCAGTTAGGTTGGTACATAGAAAGACATACAGACTGCATCTTCCCCCCTTTGAGGTCCAATGTGAGCTGCTCAAGCAGGGAGGCAGGAATTCTCTTCCAGACCTCTGAGGAACTTGAGAAATCTCCAACATGCACATTCCTGTTGGGACCTGGAGATGTCCTTGCTCTGCCTGTGAAGGCCGTGATTGGTGACCAAAGGGGTTGGCATGATTGGTCTTCTTGGACAATGCCTCAGCTGTTACAGCAAACAGAAACACTGAAATGACACCCAGGATTTGGAGGCAGATTTTCTTTTCATCGATGAGCATTGATCAGGATCATTCCCAAAATATCAGGCCTTGATCTCTGGTGGTATAGTGCTTACGTGGGATAACCAATCAGGAAGTACAGAGGTAGAATGGCTTGTCAGTTGGAGATTAGTTCTTACAATATGTATCATAGTGATCAGCTATGCATCAGAGAGGCCAACCATTTCTAAGAGACAGAAGGAACCAGAACGGTAACCGAAACTGTCACCTGGGCAACTGAAGTATATTGGCTGGGTGGCATTTTATACTCTAACAGATCTACTAAGGTTTTACTGAAAGAGCAGGACTCCAAGAGACAGAGCAGACCCCATCCCTTCCTGTGGTCCCAGGCTACCTTCCCTGCCCCAGCCCAGCTGCAAAGGAGGAATACCATTTGGATAATCCCAGTCCAAGTTCCAGAGCTGGGTTTTGGGGAAAGTAGGGTAATAATGGTCACAGTTCTGCTGAAAGAACTCAACCTTCCAATGTGGCCTAGGTCCAGAGGGAGCAGGAGGTGGGTGTAACTTCATCATCAGGCAAAGGATATGGACATCCTGGTGGGGCAGAGGCGCACCTAGGAAGCTGGGCAGAAACCACCATTAATTTGAGCACTAGGTTTTGCAAGAGCAAACATAAACAATAGTGGCCTCCTAGAAAGCCAAGTTGACAGAGCTACCTGATCACATCTTCCAGTCATATCATCATAATTTAGAAAAAGAAAACAGTCTGGTGGGTTCTAGTTTGAGTAAAAGTGTGCAAGAGGAAAGACATCTATGGACAACACCAAACATGCAACTCACAGTTCAGACTCAGAGGACTGGGAATCTGGCCATCTAAGGTGTGAGCATTGCTCACCACAAGGACAAAGCAAGACCCAAGTGGCTACCTTCAAAAGCCAGGTGCCCTCCTCCTGCCACACTCACGCAGAGGGACTGGTTCACTGCACAACAGATCCTGTCCCCACTGCCAGTTTCCTTTCCATACAGTTGCTGTGCTGCACACTGGTTGCTAACACTGAGACATCTGCCTGAGTTGGGAAGACCTGAAGCATATAGCTCATATTGGGAGCTGTTCAAGGAAGATACACTGTCATCATTGCTAGGCTTTACTGCAAGCAGAGGGCAGGGATGCATCATGGTGGCTCCTGGAGACATGTTCCTGTGAAGTCACAGCCAGCCAGCCTCAGAGTGTGGCCAGAAGAATGCCAAGGGTCAGGAGTCACAGGACGAATCCTGAAAGGTGACCTTAAGGGGAGCAAGAGTGGCTTCTCTGCCTCAGCTAAGGGGGAGGTTGAGTCCCCATGAGAATCTGCATGAGGATCACAGAGCAGTCTGTGTTATTAGGTCAGAAGGGAAAATACCATGTATGTCCCTGAGAAGGTGAACCCAAGCTACACAATGTTCCTGCAGGGACGGTGCCTTGTCTGAACCCACACAGCTGGGGGAAGAGGGGCTGAGACCTAGAGAGGGTTCAGAGGCACAAGATCATGAGCAGAGCCCAAAACTGGGGAGCCACTCAATCAGGAAAAAAAAGGACTGATTTGAAGACCAGAGCGGACCCATTACCTTTGCAGAGCAGGAAAAACCTGCAGGGCTTAAAGGAGAATAGGCTCCAGGGAGTGGGAGGAACTAAAGGAAAGTCTTTCCTTCCCTGCTCAGCCTTTCCTGATAGACAGTCTTGTTCACTGCTGCAAGACTCCTGAGACACAAATCTTGTCTGACCTGCAACCACTGTACTGGTTTCTCATTTGCCCACCCCATAGCTTATCCCCTGGGTCATTATGGAGAGCCACGTTCACTGCTGTCTCAGCCCTTACTGTGTGGTCCCCACCATTTAGCCCTCTTATCCACCCCTGCTATGACTTCCAGGCCTCCTTCACCTTCCCGTCCTCAGTGATACCTGAGAGTAACATCCTGATCTCACAGAACACTTGGCATCATTTTCCTCCATTGTCTCTTCCATCTTGGCAGCATCTTGAGCTTGCTTTAGTACCCTCATTATACTCAGAAATAAAGGAGAGTTCCAATGGGTCTAGTACCTCTGAAAGAGTCTGAACCTGAGCCCAGACCATCCCCACCCCAATCCAGGACTCTCTCCACACCCTCTCTGAGGACCTCTGGTACAACCATCACTCCTTTCCAATGTGCACTTTTCACATCTTTCCCAGGCATGTTTGTGAACGTGGGTGACGGGCTCAGTTTAGCTGGTCCTGCAGCTGTCCACGAATAGATCGAGTCTCATATTTCTTTTTGCTACTACTATGTAAAACTCTTAATACTTGTTTTAAGCACTTTCTAAAATTCTAATCCATTTTGAAACATAGAAAATGTAAACATTATAGGAAAATAAGATAAATCACTCAACCAACAGTCTCCAAGGCATGTTCAAATCTCTTAATGATCTCATGGAGTCAGGAGTGGTAGTCTTCAAGGACATGTTTATGGGGCAGAACTCAAGAACACTGAGGGTGGCAGCACATTATTTGGGGGTCAGAATTCTATTGAGAAGGATTATACTTGGTCTGTAACAGCCTATGAGCCAGAGTCGCAGTTAGCTTCAATTCATGAAATTGTTGAATTTCATGCTGCAAATCAATATGCTTTTGTGGAGAGGTAAGCAGAATGCTGGTTGAAGAATCACAAACTACTCATCATTTCTGTATCACTTATCAAATCTACTTTAAGCATCTGTCCAGGTTGCAAACTATATTTTTTATTCAATCATATGCATACACCTAACATAGCCATCTCACTTCTATCACATTTAATGGGTCCAAGTGCTTTTCCAGTTTTCTAACAGCATGGAGCACACATCAGCTCCTGTTCATCATTAAACATAGCAGCTTCAACCCCCATGAAACACACAAATTAATTTTGGAAGAAGGGAAAGAGCTTCCTGAGAGCTTCTTTGACCTCTTTGTTTCTCAAAGTATAGATAATGGGGTTCAGGGTGGGGCTCAGCATGCTGTATAGCACCCCAGCCAGCTTGCTCTTCTCTGCATTGTAGCTGGAGACGGGACTGATGTAGGCATAGAAGACGGCAGTGTAGTACATGCACACCACGATGAGATGGGAGGAGCAGGTGGAGAAGGCTTTCTGCTTCCCCTCTGAAGTCCGCATCTTCAGGATGCTGGAGATGATGAAGCCGTAGGACACGATGGTCATCAGGAAGTTGAGGATGCCATAGAAGGCATCCGCAAGGACGATCATGATGCTGTTCACATAGGTGGAGTTGCAGGAGAGCAGCAGCAGAGGGGGGACCTCACAGAAGAAGTGTGTGATGACATTGGGGCCACAGAAGTCCAAGTGTAGCATCAGCCCTGTGTGTATGGCCGTGTTGAAGGCACAGAGCATCCACACACCAGTGGCCAGCAGGCTGCAGAAGGCCTTGCTCATCATGGTGCCATAATGCAAGGGGTGGCAGATGGCGGCATAGCGGTCATAGGCCATGACTGTGAGGAGCAGCAGCTCTGAGGATGCAGCCCACGTGAGGAAGTAGAGCTGGGCCATGCAGCCCCCATAGGAGATGGTGCTCTGCTGTGACACCAGACCCTGCAGGGTCTTGGGCATGATGGACGAGGTGCAGATAATATCCATAGTAGCCAGGTTGAACAGGAAGAAGTACATGGGGGTGTGGAGCCCAGGGTTGAGGGTGATGGCCAAGATGATGAGGATGTTGCCAGTGAGGGCCATAGTGTAGAGGGAGAGGAAACAGCCAAATAGGAGTACCTGGTACTCTGGGTGCTCTGAGAAGCCCTGCAGGATGAATTGTGTCACCAGCGTCTGGTTACTCATTGTCTTTGAGCTGTTTTATCTCTGTTTCTGGGTCTATCTGGCCCGTCTCCACTCGCATCTTCACATACATTTGGGCTGCAGAGAGAGACTGGTCCCAAAAAAGCTTGCTTCCATGCTTCCCTCATCCCTGACAACGTGGCAAGTTTGATATCAGGCAGACGCACCAGGATGCACAAATTAAGGTGAAGGCACCAATGTCATAGAAGCAAGCAACATGACGTTTTAGTTCCTAAAAGTAAACACAAGTAGCCAATGACATGCAAGCAGCTTCATTCAACCTCAGTCAAAGAAATGTAGAGCTAATCCACGACACACTCTTCATCATCCACCACTGGACAGATCCAGGACAGGGAGGAAGTGACTGGTATCCACTCGGCACAAAAGTGCTGGGCTTCTAAACGTGAGCTCCCTCTGAGCCAAAACTCTGCTTTCTGGAAATTTATCCCAGGGAAACAATTTAAAATAATTTCAAGTTGTCAGAGCTACATCATTTATGACTGGAAATTTAAAAGCAACGTATAATCTGAACAGTGAGTATCTAATATATGTTGGTAAAATGGAATATTTCATAGTTATCAGAATAGTTTGAAAAAAAAGAATAGTTTCTTGGAAGTGCTCAGCTGGCAGTTTATGTAGAATAAGAGGAATTAAAAGTAACACTCACAATAGGAACTCACATAGGTTTTAATAGAGAAGGAATTCTGTGTATGTTGTGTAAGAAAAACAACTGGTGAGTGGTACCAGAGTCTGAGCCCTGGGTTGGGTTGTGATTGATTTTCCTTACTTGTGCTCATCTGTGTCTCCGGATTTTCGTACCTAATGTCATACTTTCTCAATGGCAAGGGTCACATGCAAGTCTTCTGACAATTCTCCCAGGACCCCCACAGTGGATAGCCAGTATGCCCAAGTCTCCCTCTGGGGCTGCCTCCCCCCAGCCTCACTGCCAGGGCTTAAAGCTCAAACCAATGCTGCAGTCTTGCCCGGTTCTCCATGGTGAGGAGGCAAGCCTCAGCTTCAGAGATGTCCTTGCTTTGTTCTTGCCCCCCCCCTAGCATGGATGCCCTCCTTCTTGGGTCCCAGCTGCAGCTCACCTCATCCCCATGTGGAGGAAAGATTATCACTCCCCTTTGGAGTCCTGGGCTGAGGTCTGTCCTAGGACTTGGTACACCTGACTCTCTGGAGAGTCTCCTCCTGTGGATTCTGGCCCATTTGTCTCTGGACAGCCACCATGGCCCCCAAGCTTGTTCCTGTCACCCATGAGTGTTAGATGAAGTGATACTTGAGAGCAGTCTAGTATGGACAGCAGCAGGACCTTTCCATCACTTCTTGGAGTATCAGCCCACACCATGTGCTATCAAATTCTGGTCAGCAGGACTCACATTTTATTTGTCCTTCTTTAAGATTCTATTCATTAAAAAAATTAAGAAGTTGTTCACTATTTAATGAAGAGTTCAGTATTCTGTTAAACCTCAAAAAATATATTCAGTGCAGTGTGGTGGCACATGTCTATTATAATAGCACTCAGGAACCCGAGACAGGAGAATCACCATGAGTTTGAGGCCAGTCTGGGCTATATAGTGAGTTCAAGCAAGTATGCACTACATAGCACTACATGGTATATTTTGAGACCCTGTCTCAAGAAAAAATATTCACCACTAACATTAAAGTTTTATACAAAACTATCAAGTATCAGCTTCAAATCCAGCCATATACTCTGCAAGGTAGAGTGTACTTCAAAGAAAGGGCACAGAACGGCTGTGATCCAGGGCAGCAGGGCACTTACACACGGCAGACTCAGAACTCCAGGCCCCTGTGTTCTACAGAAATGCTCAGAAAGCACCATTTTGGTTGTAAATGAGGTGACCACAGTGTATCTTAGCTGCCATCTCTTCTGTCTGGGACAGAAATACTCAGCAGTCAGTATTGCTCAGTCTGATTCTAGGATCTGGAGACATGAGTGTCACTTCACTTGCTCCTCCCCACAGCCATGTGACCCATCTGTCGCCTCGGACCTCTGGGAGACTGGACAGCTGGGTGAGGCTGCACAGGAACAGAGCTGCTTTGCCCCTGACACCCAGAACAGGCTTCTGTATTTCCTGTAATGCCCCAGGGGTTCAGGTCCATGACACCTCAGCCACAGGGGTGTACACAAAACTCACAGTTCAGACACACCAGAGTCACCCTGCCACAGCTATCCCTGATGAAACACCATGTGGTGCCCCAACACTTACAGGTCAGCAAAGGCCAGGTGTGTCACAAGCAGATCACTAAGGAAGCAGTGAGGCAGGGAACCTTAACCCTGTTCCTCTTGATTCCATAAGGTAGGAGGAAAACCTCTGCTATATATCTGGAGGGAGAGGGTTTAAACAGGCACTGCATCCAAGAGCATTTCCAGAGATGGTCCACACTTAGGAAAAAATGAGCCAGAAGAATTGCTCACTGGCTGTGGTTCCAGGGAGCTGGGCAGTCTCCCCATCACTGACTAAAGATTCAGGACACAGAGACCCATCCCACTAGAATGACTTTGTTTCCCTTAAACCCCAGGCAGCATTTCTCCTTCTGGAAATCACAAAGGATTTGCCCCCTGAAGTTCCCCAGGCATTGGCTTTAACTCTCATCATACAGCACAAGATTACTGCAAAGGAATCCAAAGAAGGACCATGGTTTCAACTAACAGTGACCAAGCTTAACCCATGCTCTGTTTAGGTAACACAATGGCGCACCCCTGCATGCTGACGCCATATTCAATCAGAGGTTGTTGTCCACACTTAGCAACCCCTTTGTGCTCAAACTTGTCAGAAAATAAAAATGCACCATGAATGATTCTGTCAGTTTACAAAAACAATAGGTACCTTCAAAATCCCTGAAATTAAAAAGTACTTTCACTGAGCTTTTCCTAAAGATAGATTGAATTTCACATGGAATACAATTTACTGTTTGTGAAATTGTACCTTAGTCCTAATGTGTTCTTTATAGTTTCATATTTGGAAAATTATTACTGTTTTAAGGAATTCAATTAATGCAAAAGAACTTGACTAATCCTGCTTTTTTTTTTTTTTTTTTTGGTACCGGGAATCGAACTCAGGACTTTGCACGTGCCAGGCAAGGGCTTATGCCGCTGAGCTATATCCCCAGCCCAATCCTGCTATTCTTATCTCTAAGGGGACTCAAGGTTTTCACCAGTATCATACAGTCAATCCAGCGCCTTCCTATTACACATGAAGTATTCTTATTGCAAATATATTTCAAGAACAGAAAGGTAAAAATCAGAATATGCCAAAATTTCTGAAAGCCAGATTGTAGATGAATTTGTCCAACCTAGCTATTAGGAAAGCAAAGGGCTTTCAAGGAGGCCAGTTTTAGTGACAAAGTTCATGTCCATCCCAGGGCTCAGGGCTCCCCCTAGAATTCTTTACTGTGTTGTTTGTCAGTTGCTTCCCTAAATGCAACTCTATCAAATGTTAAAGAGAAGCCAAGGAAAAGAGACATGAATCAAGAGCTGATGTCATTGTTTTCCAGGCTGAGATTTAGAATGCGTACCCTAAACTCTCAGCTGGTTCTGGAGCTTATCTCAACACCTCTATCATTTTATCTACTGATGAAACAGGAATAATAAGCCAGGGAGAAAGAACCAAATATTACTGCTCTAGGTTCACTGAACCAATCGAGTAGGTTCGAGCCCTTCTTACTTTCTACATTACCTGATAGACCACATCCCAAGAACATGCATAGTCACCTTGAGGAAGTCACTGCACCTCTGTGGGGCAAAGGGTACTACATGTGGCCTTCCTCTCTGTCAACCATATGTGAGGCTGGGAGCACAGTGGCATCAAGGCAGTGTGCGGTCTGTGGCACGACCAGTGTAGATGGACAAAGCTTTCTTTCCTGTATTTAACAAGCTGATCTTGCCAAGTATTTTGGACTCATTTAGCAAAATGTGTCCTTGCTAGTGGAAGACATCTGGGAGAGGTAGAGCCATTATTCTAAGTGGACCCTGAAGGAGCAATTAACACAAGTCCCTCTTAGCTGAGGACTTGGCTGTCATGGGTGTTCTACAAGGGCCAGTGCAGACTTCACTCCTGGAAACAGTGGAAACCCCAGTGGGACTCATGCTTCCTGCACTGGGTCCCTGTGTAAAGCGGCTGGGGCAGGGTCACCTAGGCTCAGGTGCTCAGCACAATGCACTCACCCCTGGGACTAGGGGAGCTGCTGGCCCCTCATTACCCCTCAACATCCCTCATCTTTGCCCTGCTGCTATCTCTATGATTTCTTCCCACCCAAACCTGCTAGAAAAATGCTATGCAAACATGCTAGAAATATGGAAGGAAAAGAGAAAATCAGGGTGAACTTGTTACATAAGTTTAAATAACTTAATGTTATATACATTTTGTCATAATAAAAAAGGAACTTCTATTCAGCAAAGGTACATTTCAAAGATGAAATATATTGTGAAATAACAAGAATTGAGACAATCTATTGGTGGCAGAAGCACCCTCAAAGAAATGCTTGTGGGAGTTCTTCAGGCTGAAAGCTAATCACATCAGACAGTAATGTGAATCTACCCCAGTAAACAATGAAAGCTGCAAATGTAATTCATTCTATGGATAATCCCACAAGCCAATATACTTGCATTTTTCTCACCTAACTAACAAGAATTATATAGAACAAGATGTACCCCACTGTATTGTTGGAGCTTTAGTACACAGGATGCAGCATATTTTGCATAAGAGCACAGAGGACTGAATGGGGGTGAAGTTGTACAGTAGGGGAACTCACATCTCCAGAAGAAATCAAGACAGCAAGAGATGACACATGAGAAGTTTAAGATAACAAATTCTATAGATATGTTTTTCTTTCAATCCCCTTTAGTTAAAAGATATAAAAGATAATATCTTTTACATCTGAATAAAATAATAATTATGACAAGGTACTGTTAGGTTTCTTATTTGTATAACAGTAATAGGACCAAAAAAAGAGAGAGAAGGAATGGACCTATTTGGAGAGCATTTTATATCTCATTAGTATTAATGAAGTTATAATAAACCTCATGTAGATTGTGGTAAGTTTAAAAATATAACACAAGCCTTAGTGCCTCAGGTGAGAAAATAACTCACAATACAGCAAAAGCAAAATTGAAACCGCACTGAACTCATTTATTCATTTTAATAGTTATTTTGTGATTTCTTAGAACTTTATGTTTCAATGTCCATGATTATAGCACCTGCAGAC